TATCCACGCCAACGAAATTTCTTTATTTTGTTCCAAACATTGGTAGTTAAGCTCAAGAATTTCTGAGGCTATATAGTTGGTGGGACTGGTAACGTTCCATTTTGCAAAGTATTCTACGGCACTCTTACTATCAATAAGCTTCTTTTATAGCAACAAGTTCAGCACTGTATATTGACATTGTACTGGGAAGTTTAAATGTAATTTTATAATTTTTGTTAGGATCCAAAATTGCACATCCTAATTGGTTCCCAATTTTAGATCCGTCCGTGTATATGTTTTCAAATGTATTCTATTTTTTTATTAAATCTTCTTTAAATGCGTTTTCAATCATTAGAGGGTTTTCCTTCAGTAGATTTTTGTTTATATATGTTTTCAATGGGTTTGATAAAGATGAAAAATGTAAGGACCATAATGGAATTTCATTTTGTTGTTGGAGATCTGGAATCATTTCTATGGTAGTTAAAAAAGTCTACTAGTAAAGGTAGTTTTTTCTTTGACCAATACTTTTCAGTTAAACACAAGATAAATTAGATAAGAGAGGGAGAAGAACCGAATTTTTCGACCTTTGATTTATTAAAAACTTTTCGGATTAAAATTGTCTTCTAAAATTAAGATGAGGTTCTGTAGTTTCCGATTCTATTACATTAATTAGAGTACTTGGGAGAAAACCTATACTTAATCTAGGACATTTATATTTTATTCTGTCCAATTTTTGGAGATTAGTATTTGATGCAACATTGCACTATAGTCAAAAATTGTTCTTATCAACACCCTATAAAAAAGAATTATATTTTATTAAATTTACAGCATTTTCTGTTCTTTTTACAATATAATTAATATGTTCATTCCAGTTTAGCCTCTTGTCCAATATGACACCCAAGAATTTATGACTACTTTTAAGTTGAAATTGGCAATTTCCTAGTGTAACAACATTTGAAAGTTGAGTTTTTTCCTTGTGAAGCAGACTACCGCTGATTTGTTTTCTGAAATTATTAGACCATTTTCAAACAACCATTTCTGTATGTCTTCTACACTTAATGATAGTTGACAAATACTAGAATCAATATTTTTATGCCGACTATACAAAACAATACCATTAGCAAATTGAAAAATTTTTGTAGTAGTTCCAAATCTTGTGTATAAATAGGGTATAGAAGTGGACTTAAAACGCTTCCTTGAGGAAGACCAAATTCATTATTTATTCTAATCAATAACTTCCGTCTTGTATATAGTTTATAAATATGTAAGCAGTTTAAGTGAGTGATCCCCAATGATGTCATTTTTTAAATCAGTATTTCTAGATTGACATTATCATTAGCTCCTTTAATATCTAAAAACAGAGCACTGGTAGAAATTTGTTGGGAAAATCCAATTTGTATGTTAGTTGTTATGGTTGCAATACTTTCTTGAGCAGACTTGTTTTTTGTGAAGCCAAATTGTCAGTTTGGAAAAATATTTTTGTGTTCCATCCAATGTTCCAGTCTAAGTTTAATCATTTTTTCATACGTTTTTAAAACACAAAATGATAGTGCTACTGGTCTCTATGAATCTGCATTAATTGGAATTTTGTTTGGTTTGAGTATGTGTAAATAATATAATCAGACCAAGATTTTGGAATGTACAGTTTCTTAGCCCATATTTTGTTTAAGGTATTTAATAGTTGTTGTTTAGCAATCTTAGGGAGGGTACTTAGCATTGTATAATGAATATTGTCTAAACCTGGAGACGAGTTCTTAGTTTTCGTTAATACCAATTCTAATTCATTATAAGAGAATGGTGTTAATACGTATTTGGAGTTTTCGGTTGAAGTGGCTAGGGATTTATTTTTCAATTCTGAATCATTAGGAGGGTATGGGACAACGAATGGAGGTGCTAGATTCAAATGAAATTCTGGTATCCACTCAGCTGTTTCGATGTCTACTGGAGGAATCGTTGATAAATTTTGATTTTTTAATGAACGAACTTTTTGCCAAACTTCCTTAATAGGAGAATGTTGGTTCAGAGAGAGACAATAATTTTTCCAACTTTCCCTTTTGACTTGTTTTATTGTCTTTTTTGCTATGGCATCTAATCTTTTGTATTCTATATTTGAAAGTGTAGGATTTGTCTGGAAGGTTATAAAAGCTTTTTTTCTGTTATCTATCACTTCGTCACATTTTTGGTTCCTTCAGAATTTATTTTTATGTGAAGAGGTACTTTGAATAAATTTGGGAATTGATTTCTCAGCAGCCATATCTATTTTGTGAACACATTCTTCATAATTAAGATTAATATTTTTGTGCAACAATTTTTGTGTTTCTAAATAAAACGAATTCCAATTAGCCCTCTTCAAATTCCATTTTCTGTTAGTCTGAGTAATTATATTTTTTAGGAGAGATTGAGATTGAAATAAGAGGTGGGAAGGTGACTCGAACCACATAATTCATTTAGGGTTTCCCATTTCAGAAGATGTCTCATTTCTAGAGAGCTGATGGTCAAATCAATAGCTGAAGGTATGGTCTGTAGATTTCCCAAAAACGTTGGTGATCCGTCATTTATAAAACTAAGATTATTTTGGTCTAAAGCTTCTATCAAAATTTTACCATATGTATCAGTCGATGGACCTCTCCAAGCTTGTAATGTGATGTTATTATTTTATAAATGTTTATAGTGTTTTAAGCTCTACGATTTTGGGAAGTGGGTCAGGTTATTAAACAACTCATATGACTTTGAAAGAGAATATTGGACGCCACTATATTTAAAACTTTCTAAACTTGACAATCGATCAGTGATGAAAATATAGAAAACCACTGATCTTTATGATATTATAATTAAATAAGGTAGCGACAAATTCTAATTCACAGAGACTTAATTATTCAAATTTAAATGATTTATTGACTTATCTGGAGGTATATAGGAAACAGGTAACAGGTAACTGTAGAGGCCTTCTTTACAAGGTAGTGTTAAATCTTGTTAACTAAACTTCTTGTGAACTAAACTTCTTGATGTATTCTAAGTTCTTCCCAATTTCCCAATAAGCAGCTTGTACGTTCTTCCAAAATTCATGCAGACACAGCTACTATTGAATCCTCGATATAGGTTCTATCGAACCATCTAAATCAATTCTTCAAGATTTCTTTTAGACATAAGACCATCTATATACAGCAAGGCTACAAGGAAAAAGGTAAAAATATAGAGAAGGGAGCCGGAAAGAGTATCTAGGAACAGATAATATGCTTTTTACTATCAAATGAACAAATTAAACTATTATTTGAATAGTTACACAGAGACTAGAATTTAATAGGAAAAGAAGAAGTCTTATTTAACATATATAAATATAGTAAAGTATATTATCTATTTCAAATAAAATAATATATGAACTTATATAAAACATGTGATGTCTTATGTTTTTCAATGTGTTGAGGTGTTGAGGTGTAGAGGTTATGTTTCAAATTTGACATTTCTTGTAGTAAATATATATTTTCAACAAAATATCGGTAGGAAACTTACCTTTTTAAAATCAGATGGCCATTAAAAAGATTTAAGGTAATTAGTAACTTGCTGTTGTCAGAGATAGATCGAAAATGACAATCCAAATTTTGACACAAGGCATAAACGACAGTTGACGTTTGTGTAGAGATGTTGGTTTCAAAATAACGAGAACGGGTCTGGGTCAAATAACGAAAACGGATTTAACCGTTACAAGCTATGTTATGAGAATTTAGATATCCTGTTATTATACATGGTCTAGGAATTGATTCAAAGAACGAACAACACTCTTGAAGTGAAATTTTAGTTTTTGGTGGTATATATAAAGATACAATTGTAATTTTAATATTGCTAAATTTTAATAAAATGGATTTTTGATTACCATTCGCTAAGTAGTATTTAATGGAAATTTCATAATAAAATATGTTGGATTTAACTAAAATCGCTGTTCCTCCTCCAAGATGATCCACACGATCGTCTCTTAAGATATTGTAATTTTTGAATTTGTAGATTATTTATGGTTTAAAGTACGTTTCAGAAATACAAGAAATATCAATTTTTTGTTCATTTAGTAGGTACATAAGGTTTTCTTTATTTGAAACCGCTGATCTACAATTCCACTGATACAATGTAATATTACCAGTACTAGCCATCGAATTCAAGATACTTTTCTAAAGAACTTGATAAATTTTGTTTAATTACATTTAAAATAGTAGCTTATTTAATTTCGAAATTTGTACTTTTAATAATTTCAATAGTAGATAAAACAACCTGTAAAATAATTTGGAACATATTATCACTTTACAATTTTTCCTCTATATTTAATGAATTTAATGTAGATTTATATTTAGGAGAAGAAAGGATTCCTCCTTGACTTCTTGGAATATAATTTTAGATATAATTTCTTTGTGAGCTAAAGAAATAAGGTTATAGTTGATAATACGGGGTCGTTAATTAGTTTTCGGTGGGTACGATATTAACTGGTGAAGGAGATGTGCTGGCAACTGAGTTTACATTAACAAAGGAAGACTGTGATAAGGATTAGTTGGTTGACTTGAAGATGAGGCCACTATAGAAGTATACGTGTATTGAGGAATTTCTTTAGAAGCATCTTTATGAAAGCAATTAGTATTTGACATATAACTTTTGAAATTTTTTTGTTTTTTAAATTCTGGACATAAGTACAGATCTGTAGTACGGTGATTTCCCTGAAATACTAAGCATACCTTATTGTTATTATTTTGATAAGATTCTGAGTTGTGATTTTCTCCGCATTTTATACATCGAACCTTCTTTCTTTATTGACGACCCATATTATAGCAAAGTAAGTAGCACTTTTTGTTGATATAGTTCTACATCATATAAAACTTTGTTAATTAAAATATATTTTGGTAATGTTTGGGGATTTAAATGAGACTAATATTGTCCTTGTAGGTTGAAGTTCAGTTGAATCATCATCTTCCTTAATTTTCCCATTACTGCGTCTAACAAAATCTACTTCGACTTTGCAATGCAAATCATAGGGGGAAATCCTACTTTTTTAAATATTTTTCTGACAAATCCACATCTATTTGTTTGACCACTACTAATCTAAATAATAAAAATTTTGGCATAAATGCACCTAAGTCATGCTTTATTAAGTTAGTAGAAGATGGCAAAACGTTGGCGCTTAGATAGTCTTTTAAAATTATTCTAATTGGGTTTTTCCCAATAGATTGGATTTGTTTTATTTTATTATCAATTTCAGAATGAGCTCTTAAAATTATTTCACCTACCTCTATAGTATTTAATTTACCCTGAAAATTTGTCTTTATATTTTCAATGTATACATAAAACGGACCTATATCCGTTGGTTGGTATTTAAAACCTTGTCTCATTTTTTCAATATTTGGCGACTCTTTCAACTAAATACATTTAAAAACATTTTTTTCTTATCAATGATGATAAAATGTACTGGAAATCTATGATAATTCCTAAACAGACCTAACGAGAAACTAAAATATAATCGTAAAACAATTATAAACAAATATTATTAAAACTAAAGTCAAATTAATAATTTTTCAAATTCAAAATTTTTAAATTTCAAATTTATTTTGTTTAAATATTAGGTAAAATACATTATCTAATAGTAAAGTTAAAGACAGCTATTTACTCGTAGAGGTCTGATTGAGCATCGAACCTAGGCATTTCTGCATGTTTTGCTTCTACTAAATCAGATGGCTTAATTTATGTACATTTTTTTAGATACAGATATTGAAGTATACCATAATTTATCACATTACGAAAGAAACAGTATTCAATAATAAGAACAAGAGACAAAGAAATTGGACAGAATAAACAGATGAATAAAAAAATAGATAACGAATATGTTAAAAATTAACGGTCGGTAAAAATATAACGTATGTTAAATATGAAAAGCAATTCTATGCGTTCATGTTTTAATTTTAACATGTCAAAATTAACGTATTAGTTCATTTATACCGCAAAAATCTATTCTATGAGCAAGGATATGTTAAAAATTTAACATAAATGTGTTACCTAATTTGACGCCTTAAATTTTTGATATTAACGGATACCCTACTACTACGCTTTAAAAACTAACGCATAAGAAATTATGGCTTTTGATGGATTAATTCATCTTGTATTGCAAGAAAATTATGAAAATAAGTTAAGAATGTAAGTTGAAGTTGTGAAATCTCCCGCTTAAACACGAAATTCTCATCAGCTTTGCCGCTTCGCGGAAACCACAGAAATTGCAAATGATAAAAAACGGTTTTTCTCTAAAAATACGTCTAGTAAAACTAAAAATTAAATTTCTCACAACTAGATAGCGCTGCGGTGTTCGTTTGCCAAACATTTTCGTATCAAACTCGAGCGCAATGAATGAGGATTTCATTCGAGACTAGCGTAAAAATTTATATATAAATAAAATAGTTGAGGGCGCGTGATATTTCCACTGTGTTTTCCTACGAAAATACACGCATTCGACTCAAGGTGATTTCTTTTTTCGCGATCTGTTTTTACAGCGTTGCAATAATTTCAAATTAAATGTAAGGTTCGAAAAACATGATAAAGTGATTTACATACAAATTAGTAAATAGCATAGAAATAACAAATAGTTACTGGTTATTTATGAATGATGGATTTAAAAACGAAGATGGTACATTCTACGTGCCTTAAGCCAACGTCTATTGTTCTATCTTCACTGCAAGAACGTTACGCAATAGAAATAGATCTTTCGCGGGCAATTGCTTTTCACACAATACGATTTAAAAAATTTAATAAAACACTTATTTATAACGTGAAAAAATTAATTAATTCCTAACAAACACGGTATGGTACGTTTTATTTGGGTAAAGGCACATGCTGGCATGAAATACAATGAAATTGTTGATAATTGTGCGAAAAACTCTACAAATAAATATAATTTAAGGAAATATGCACTTCGACAACAAATTGATCACTTCATTGTTGGGATCCAGAATTTTCTCTAAACGATTTCGACTATCAAAAAGAAGTGTACAAATCTTATTTCAACATTAGTCATGCTATTGAAAACCCGGTTTTTGTTTCAAGCATAATAGTTGTTGTATTTTTTGTACCAAGTTTTTCCCTTCAAAAATATTTTGGGCTAATTGTTAGCATTTCTGCGTGTACAATTGAATTGAAACGTCTAGTTTATAAATGTATGTATCTTGAAAGTGTTCTCTTTTAAATTATTAAACGAAAACGGTATTGTCAGGGAAACAGCAGCGTATCGAAGTCTTGATATTGTTGGGATCTATGGATAAAATGCGAAGTTCAAGTGAAGTGTATATTTTATTTAATGCTGAATATCCGGAAAATCACATTTCACAGGGTGAACATGGTACAGTGAAGAACTTGCTCAGAAGAGGCCGGCCACATGTTTTAGACGAAGATAAAAAATTGGACATTGTCTTATCTCTGCAAGAAGATCCACATATGTGAACGGTTTGATTGGCCCAAAATCATGCTGCTTCCAGACGAACGATTAGGAAGTTTTTAAAAATTTAAAAATACAACCCATGTAAGGTATATATTGTCCAGGAGCTTTAGGAAGATGCCTATGACAGGTTTATGTAATTTTGTGAGAAAATGATGAGGCGATGTGACGAGAATAATGGGTTTGCACTATATAATCTTCTCGGATGAAGCTACTTTTTATTTAAATGGATTAATTAACAGGCACAATTATCGTTTCTGGAGTCAGGAAAACCCACACTGAATACATGAAGCTTATGACCTAGCGTCCTCAGAAAGTAAATGTATTGGCAGGTATCATTAACAACATACTTTTTAAAGAAAATCTTACAGCTAAACGCTACTTAGACTTTTTAAGATTTAAATTAGTACCTGCAATATAGCTGTTATGTTTCTCAACAAAGTAGATTCAGATATCCCCAGAGAAACACTATGGTTTCAAAAGAACGCTGTTCCCCACATTTTGGTATTAATGAATTGGACGACGTGGTACAATTGAATGGCCACCAAGATCCCCAGATTTAAGGCCATTATATTACTTTCTTTGGGGATATCTGAACGACAAGGTTTATCAAAATAGGTCGGCTAATATTGAAGATCTAAAAAACATAATTATAATGGAGTGACATACCGGCTGAGACTATTCGGAATTCTATAGACGTTTTACCATCGCTTGGAAGCCTGCCAAGTAGAGGGTGGAGTACATTTTCAATCTGCTATGTTAATTTACCCGTTGATAGCACTAAAAAGGTATTTTTTTCTGTGACGGGAAAAAAGTTTGACATTTTATCTCTCTTGCCAGGTAACAAAATGTCACTTTTTATGAAATACGCTAGTTCGGTGTGATGCCATTTCGGTTCCACTGACATTTAATTCTAACCAAACTTTTAAGAAAAACATCAATAAATTACTGTTTTTAGTTTATTTCTAAATATTGTTTATAGTTCATAAAAAATAGTTTAAAGGTATGTAATTGGTAACTAAACGATTGTATATTTGATGCATGTTATCTACTTACTTTAGGAATATATTTATACAAGTGAAAAAACGATATAATTTAGGTAAACAAAACGAATAAAACGCACTCAAAAAATCTACTGTTACTTTAATTGTCAGTGGAACCATAATTACATTATCACTGAACTAGCGTATTACATGAGTACTTTTTTCCCGGATATGTATACACATAAGTAAAGGAAGATATTTTAGAATATTTTTTCAATATTTATTTAATATTAGCAACAAATACGTCCAATGTAATTAACGTGTTATTTTTTTTAAATTACTGGTTGAACAGATAATAATTTTATTCCGGACTTTCACGCAACTCTGTATAATTAACAATAGGTAAAAGATGTTCATTAAGACAATTCAAGTCATTGTTCTTATTAGCTTAGTACATTTATTTCTATTGTATTTTGACAATGGTCCACCATCAATAAAGCGTGGATAGTGTGGCTAGGATTTTGGCTGTAGTTATGCTACAAAGGAAATATGTTTCCTTTCTGTGTTGTTCATTTATTTTAAACTAAAATGATCCCTCTATGCGCCCCTGTAACCTAGTCATTTGTAAACCAGAAAAAAATTGTATTGCTGACTTTAATACATTATTTCTACACTTATTTTTGTAGTAGTAGTTTTAAACTAGCGAATTTAATTCCAACAGTGAAAAAAATTAAATACGGATCTGCCAAGTAGAATTTTAGCTATACCATTAAAATTTACGGCCTGGTTCACAGAATGTTCAGGAAAGAAGATATGCTACGTGAGTATATACACAATTTCCTGTTAGCCAGTCATAAAGTGCTAATGACATTATGAAACAAAAACATTCAGAAATCCCAATTCTCCATAATTACGAAATATCTGTGTAAAATAACGTTAAAATGGAACCGTTGCTTAACGTATTTAATCATATTAATTAGTTTTGCAGCAAGACTAATTAAAATTGACTTATTTCATTAGTATCTATTAGTATTTTATGAGATGGTTTTGATATACATCAGTAAGTGTATTAAATTAAAATCTTGCAATGCAAATTGGGTGATAACTTTTTAGAGCCCTTCAATTTTATTATTTCAATAAGTTATTTTCTTTAGATTGGTTATGATAAGGAAATAATCTTTGAGCATACACGGAAAAAAATGTGACTAGAAAATTTTACTACAATGTTCTAGTAGTAGACTTGTAGAAAAATACTTAACAATTTGTAGAAAATTTTACTACAATTTATAGTTAAAAACTATTCATTATTGTAGCAATTGAATTGTCGAATAAAATGCTACAACAATAGGAAAAAATTCCACAATGTTTAGTATATTTTACTATTGTTTGTAGAAGTAGAAATTTATTACAATTATCGTAATTACTACTACTAACTTCTGAAAAAATTTGTACAAATATTAATAATTATCTCTACAAAAAATAGTAATTTTCTCTACAAAAAATAGTAATAATTTACATCCCTTCTTATGAAAAATATTCAATTCAAGTCATGTGAACAAGATAGAATTCTGCTATTGGCCAACGTTTTCTGACGTCGATCATAAATGGCCAGACAGCAGTAGCCGTTCGCCATGTTCACATAACAAAGCATGGTACATATACGAGTACCTATAACACATTATTATATTATAAGCACCGATACGTTTGAGAAAATTTTAATAATAAATTCTGTTGGTGGTAAGTACATTTATTATTGTTTTTGAATAATTTACCTTTAAATAACTAATTTAAATAACCTTAGTAGATTATTTTAAAAAAAATAGTTTGTCTTAATTGTGACATACCTACTTTCTCATTTTTGTTAGTTATCTGACTTAGTCATTTAATATCTAAATCAGTGTAGAGGTGATAAATATCCCCGTTTTAAGGG